AGAAGAGCTAGAGGGGCAGGGCAGGCGGGGAGGGTGAGGGGCTGGCAGGGTGCAGGGCAGGCAGGGAGAGGGCCTGGCAGGGTTAGGAGATTGGGACAGACTGGTGGGGCATGGGGCAGGAACAGTGCAGTGTGGGCTAGCAGGGTCCCAGTAGGCTGGCAAGGAGTGGGGCAGGCCTGCAGGGTTCTGGGCAGGGAGCGGGGAGGGCCGGGGCAGGCTCACCCTCGACTCCCTGCACTGGAGGTGCGACGCCGCAGCAGGGAACGCTGGCGGCCCTGAGCCCGAAGGAGAGCATCATGCTTGTGCTTCAGCTCCAGCAGCTTGGCCCGCACCTCCTCATCAGCACACAGATCTGGGAAGTAGTGGCCACAGCCATGACCACCAGCCATCCCACCCTCCCCTGGTGGTCAAGAGGCAGGACCCCCACGGGGCTCACCAAGGGGGGTCTCATCCATCAGGGACTTCCCATTCAAGTCGGCCCCATGTGCCACGAGCAGCTCCACTAAGTGCACCTGTGGGCCAGCAGGTAGATGCATGCTGAGGCCGCCTGCCAGGGCCCACTGCACCCGACGTCGGGCTGCTCACCCACCTGGCCCCAGTAGGCAGCAGCATGCAGAGGCTCCCAGCCATCACGGTCCTTGGCACTCAGACTGGCCCCATGTTCCAACAGTAGCAATGCTGCCTCGCCAAACCCGTTGGCTGAAGCAATGTGTAACTGTGGGCGAAGCGCAGCTCTAAGAAGAGGCAAGGAAGAATTCCCTCTAGGTCTCCCTGAGCCATCGTGTCCCACCCCCCAGGCATACCAGCGTAGCTCCGTGGTCTTGTGGAGAGTCCAGGTCAGCCCCTGTCCTAAGCAGGCTCCGGATATCCTCCAGCATGTGCTGCTCTGGCACAGCCCGTGCACCCTCGATGCCCTCCTGGGTGATGCCTGTGGAGAGCAGGTTCAGAGCTGCGTCCATGCAGCTCCACCCGCCTCATGGAGTGGGCACTCACCGCGGTCAGCCATGGCTGTCTCAAGGCAGTCCAGTGTCTGCTCATCTTCACACAGGTCATAGGGCATATTACCATCAGTGTTAACGGCCAGGAGGTCTGCACCACTGCGGAGAGAGCAGGGCTCAACGAAGTTCCAGCCTGTGCGCCCAGGGACAGGACGGAAGAAGGCTGGGGGGCGCTCCAATCTGATCAAACTCCTCCCTCTGGGCCCTTTCCTCTCAGGGTTCTCCCTCTGCAGGGAGAAGCCCACCTTGGGGTGCAGGGACCTTGGGGATTCAGGAACCCGTGGAGGCTGGGAGACCTGCAGGGTACAGTGTGGGTAAAAGGCTGGAACTGAAAGAGCTGGGGCCATGTGTGAAGGGACTACACTCCCTCCGCTAGGGGTAAAAGGAGAACATGGGTAGGCTCCACGTGGAAGGAAGGTCCCAGCCTCTGAGATCCTGGCAGAGCTGAGAGTGGTCCAGAGCTCAGCCCCGCTCCTCCCTACTGGGGCCAGGTGACCCCTCCTGCACTCTCCTCCTTTCTGAAGTCAGTTCTCATCAGTTTGTCCCTAATTTCCTGGGCCTTTTTCTGAGCAGAACCTCAGACTCCACCTCATCCTGGTCCCATATGTGAACGCAGGGGAAGGAGGGACACACCCCAGGTGACAGCCCCTCCCTATAGCAGGTCCCAGCTTCAGAGCTCCACCTGCTCCAGGGCCCTACCTGGCAATGAGCAGCTCCACCAGCTGCAGGTGGCCACAGGTGGCTGCAGCATGCAGGGGGGTCCAGGCCTCGCTGTCACAGGCATTGACGTTGGCCCCGGCCTCCAGGAGCTGCTGCACCATCTCCCGGAAGTCATCAATGCAGCACTGCGAGCCACAGAGGCCTGAGTGGCTGGGTAACACCCAGCAATGGCTGTCCCTTGGCCCTCCAGCCCATGCTGTGCATGCTGACCTGGTGCAGGGCCGTCAGGCCATCCTCATTGGCCAGGTCAGGGCTGACCCCATGCTCAAGGAACTGGCGGACTATGAGGAAAGGGAGGCCATGGTTGGAGCTGAGCAGCGGCCCAGTTTGCATGTTGCGCCTGGTCCCTGTGACTACAGCCTAGACTGGACCCAAACCCTCAACAGGATGTGGGATCTCTGTGGCATGATGGTGGTATAAGGGCAAAGGGACTACTTACTGTGCCTAGAATGAGAAGTCAAGAGGCCAAGGCCCTATCTGCCCCTGTCATGTCCAGACAAGTACCATGAACTCTGCCATCAGACCAAGTGCTGCCCTGAGGAAGACTGCCACCCCTCCTGTGTGAGCACAGTCCCCCTGGGCTCTGGAAGATTCTGCTGTGGAGGAGGACTGACACTCACACCTGGATCATCCCCCAGGCTCCTCAGGTCCCCCCAGCAAGCTGCCCATTTGCTCCCTCTCCACACTGCTCTGCTCCAGCAAGGCCCCCTATATTAGCCCAGAGGACAGAAACCTTGGAGCCTGAAGTGTGGGGGCAGAGAGCTGCCCACTGCTCAACAAGCCCTCAGGAGCCACAGCGACAGATGAGCCCTCCAGGCCCACCAGACCATGCTGCAGCTGTTGTGCCACTAGGCTCTAGGGAGCAGGAAGGGCAAGGAGAGTGGGGGCATCCAGAGCAGGCAGGAAACAAAGGAGGCTGAGGGTGCTGGAAACAGCCTCCAGCTCCACAGCCTCACCTGCCCTATGTCAACCAGTGTCTGCCTGGGGTGCTAAGCACAGCAGGGAGGTCACAGAAGGGCCTCCGACTGGGAACTTATGGATCTGTACACTGCCTGCTGTGGAGGGGCACTGCCCAGTGGGGGGTACCATTCAATCTAAGGGCTTGACCCACTGTGGGACACCACCTGCTTTGGGGGGCATTTATAGACAACACTGTCCAATATGGGGCACAGCCCAATACCAGTGGCACTGTGTTGTGGGAGGCACAGTGTGATGTGGAGGACACTACGTGCTGTGAGGGCACCTATAGGGGACACCATCAATGGAGGGACACCGTACAGTGTTTCATGGCCTGAGGTGGGGACACAGGCCAACGTGGAGGTATTAGCCAATGTGTAGGGCACATAGCTCCATAGCATGACTCAATGTCAGGGATATGGCTTACGGTGGGGCACACAGCTCAAAGTAGGGGGTCTGACCCACTGTGGGGGTCACAGCCTGCTATGGGGGACACCTATGGGGAACACCACACAATGAGAGACACCACATTGGGTGGAGGGCATGGCATGGGAGGCCTATACAGTGCCCACTGGCCTTGTCTTCCCATGCACGTACCTTCCTCCAAGTCGTTGCGGGAGGCAGCCTCTAGTAGGATGACACCTGGAGGGAAGAGGACTTGCTTCTCTGGCCGGCCAGACGCTGCGCTGCGCCGGTTTCCAAAGCCTTTCCCACTCTGGTCCTCCTTCTGGGCCTGAGCCCATAGCCGCACCTGCTGGGCACGCCGCTTCTGGGCATGCTTTAGCCGTTCCTGGGCACTCATGCGGCTCACCGCGGGCATCTCTGCCAGCAGCTCCAAGTGCTCGGCCATGGCGGGGGCTGCAGCTGGTAGAGCTGCTTAGGGGGCCCAAGGTGAGATGCTGGGGCAGGGTCTGCGGAGCGGGGCAACTGGCTGCACTGGCACCCTCAGCGGGCATCCCCTCCCAATGACACAGGCCCTCCGTCTCTGGCCAGGCCAGGTCGGGAGGCCCAGGAGGTGACCAGGCCAGGCTGATGATCTGAGGCACTGCCCAAGCAAGGGGGCAGGTGGAAGTCGCTGCAGCCTGCTTACCAGGCTACCCAGCACCGTGGCGGCTTGGCCAAGCTGGGCCTCCTCTCCCTTGGGATCAGAGTGCACAGCTTGGGGGAAACAGCTGCAGGAACCAGCCTGCTTAGGTCCAGGGTCTGAAGCTAATTACCCAGATAAGAGTCCCAGCTTCCTGGCACTGAGCCAGCAGGGAGGAGGGCACAGAGGTTTCCGCCACTTGGGACTTGAGTCCTGGAAGCCTCACCACCCACCATTCAAGCCTCAGGACACGGATGGGGCTGAGAAGCAGCCAGAGTGCAGCCCCCCACCCACCGCCCCACAGTCAGGGCCAGGGCCCTCAGCACATGCTCACAGTCCTGAGTCCCAGTGCATGGGGCTGCTAGGTGAGGCTGTCTGAAGCGGCCACAGTCCCAAGGGAGAGCACTGGCAATAACTCTTTGTCTGGCAGCACAGACACAGCCGACGGAGCAGCCTGAAGAGGAAGCACACAGAGGGCTGGACCCTGCAGGCTGGGCTCTGGGTACCCAAGTCCCCACCCTAGCCTGGAAGAGGCCCTGGGCTCTGAAGTCAAGGCTCAGCACCAGCTCTGGCTCTATTCTCTACAGAACTCAGCCTCTGTCTACAAGCATGTGCAATGCAGAGTGACTAGCACTGGGGAGCTCAGGAAGCTGAGAGCTTGGGGGCATTCCCTGGGGGAAACCAAGGACTAGATGGGTAGTAGGCTGTCACCTATTGATTCTGAGCCCTGGGACCTGGGAGATTCCTGGTCAGATGCCCACTGTTCAGGGACCACTGTCCTGTGTGTGCACTCATCGTCCTGAGAAAGGTCACCTCTCCAGGCACCAGAGTCCCACCCTCCCCACCAAGGGATCAAAGGGCTGTATCTAGCAGCATTTGCCTGCTTTTTTAATCACTCAGGTCCCACAGACTCTAACCTTCCAGAATTTCCTTTTGCGTGCAGACTACCAATAGCATCTGAGACCTCCATTTGGCCAACTGGAGGCCCCTTCCTCCACTCACCCCATAGTCACAGACCACGGAGGGGACCTGGAAGTATGGATAAGCTGCTTCTGTTCATGTAGGGTCTCCATGAGCCAGCCCTTAGGGACCAGGCTGTCCATGTTCACGTAGAATCCCCATGGGCCAGGCTTGTAGAGTAGCCCTTATGACCTGTGGGACATGCTTCACTTCTCAAAGACCCACAGAGGCCCTCTTCCACTGAGAGGTCTATAGTCACCATCCTAAGCCCAGGAGAGAAGGAAGGGCTTGCAACTAGCGGCTGGTTTGTGATGAATGAACGTGGTTTTGAAATGCAGTGTCCTTATCACCCTACCGTGGCTGTAATGGGCAGAAAGCATCTCTCCAGGGTCACAGTACTACGCTCCTTCCACGTGGCCCTTGCCCCCTCCAGAGTCATCATTCATAGGCCCCATGGGCCCTTCAGAGGGGGCTCCCAGGGTGACTTTGAGCAGGTTACAGTAATCAAAAAGCTTCAGGCGTCTGCACGGATAACAGTGACGTTCCCATTGGGATGACCCTCACCTGCCCACTCCCCTTGCCCAGAGGGTGCCTCAGAGAGGACAGGCCAACTAAAGGCTAGGATGAGCTGCACTGCAATCCCAGAGGTGTGTGGTTCGAATCCACCAGAGGCTGTGCTGGAGAAGGAGGGACAATCTTCCGTACCAATCAGATCTGATTTGACAGTACACACACAAAAAATATTGTTGTTGTTGTTGTTGTTATGTGCCGTCGAGTCGCTTGTGACTCATAGCGACCCTCAACTCTGCTCTGTCCTGTGTCATATCGCACTGTCTCCGACTTTTTTTTTATGTACAAAAAATATAAGAAATAAATTTTTTAAAAAATAAAGATAAAGGCTAGGATGGACCCAGACTTCTGAAAGAAAGGTCATTCTATCTACATCCAGTTCTCCACCCTCATTCCCCAGCCTGGTGGTCCAGGAAAGAGGCCCACAACTTGGAGGACTCACCCTTCCACTGGCCACCATACACACCCCTGGCAGAGAGCCATCTACAAATTTACCCCAAGCCGCCCTGGAATGTCCAACCGAGATAATCTGGTCACTTTATCCCAAGTCCTCAGCTTGGTACCCAGCAGCTCCACAACCAGAGTATACCCCCAGGTGGGACGGTCAGTCCTCACCACTCCCACAGCCAGTGCCTCCAGGCTCCAAATAGAGGGGTTTCTCTAGATCCCAGCCCAGCACTCGGCAGTCCCAGCCTGGACAAATACACACAGGCTAGGTCTTCCACCCCATCCTACCTACTACAGTCCTCTCCAAGCAAAGCCTTCTCCTCCTCCATCACATAGAGAAAGTGATGCCAGATCCGGCCCCTCCCTGTCATGAACCCTGAGACCCGTCTACCCAAGGTTTCCTCAGAGGTTGCTCAGCCTCCAGGAGTCCCTATGAGAACTCTAGTGGTACAGCCTGGGCTTGAGCTGACATGCCAAAGGTATACACAATGAGAAGGGAGTAGAGGAGGAAAGGGGAGAGAGGTGGGGGAGAGGGGGAGGGGAGGGGGGAGAGGGAGAAGAAAGGGAAGGAGAGTAGGGAGGAGTGGAGAAGAAAAGGGGGAGTGGGAAGACTAGAGAGAAGAGTGGAGGGGGAGGAGGGGAGAGGAGGAAGGAGGCAATGGGAGGGAGTAGAGGAGGGAGAGAGCAGAATGCCAGGAGGAGGAGGAAAGAGGAAGAAGTGCTGGGAGCAAGAAAAGATCCTAGAAGCTGGGAGAGTGGTTAGTGAGGCTGTGGGGTGTTGGCCCTGCACCTTTGGAGAGTAGGAAGGCAGGAGTCACCCAAACGCTGGCACAGACCTTCTAGCCTAAAGCACCAAGACACGTGAAACTGTGGTTTCTAGGTGGAGGAGTATGTCTGAGCTGTCTGTGTAAGAGTCTCAGCAAAGACGCTAGGTCTTTTAGAGAACACTGGCTACAAACCAAGAGAGAGCAGAGCGTGGTGCAGTCAGGCCTATGTCCACTTGTCCACACCCACTGGTTCTGAGCTGTGTGAACACACTGTAGACACCAAATACTATTTAGGATGACAGGAAGAAGAAAAGGAACAAGTCTTGTTTTTGGCAATAAGAAAAGTCATTGGGGAACCCCCTGGTGGATTGTTGGCCAACTTTAACGAGCTGAAAACTAAGAAGAGGGATGTGCTGGCCCTCTCATGAGCTTCAGACTGGAGCACAAATTTGTAATCTGTAGCTAAACTCTGTATGCCAAGGGACCGTGCTCACATGTCAAGGTGTCCTTGCCTGGCCCCGCCCCTGAGCTCCGCCCCGACTCCAACCCCACCCCCTGCCTGACTTCAACCCATTTCTCCAACACACCTCTCCTCAGTTCCGGACCCCTCCTTCCGGTCCACCCCACTCCGACCTTTCCCCTCCACCCCTCTTTGGTCCCACCCCTTTCTTTGCTTCCCTCATCTGCCCCAAACCCAATTCCACTTCCACCCTGAAATTCCTCCGCCCAGTCCCCCTTCACCTCTTTTTCTCCCCTCTCCTCCCCTCCCCGACTCCGATTCCTCCCCAAGCTTCCTCCTCTGCCCTGCTCCTACCCGGCTCTAGAGGGCAGAGCCCTCAGAGGCGCTCACCTTCGAAGGTGCGGCCCAGCAGAGGTCAGCAGCAGCGCTCCAGGATGGTCTCGTTTACCAGACTGCAGGATTCCGGAAGGCTCATAACTAGCTTTACACCCATCCTCAGAGGTGCACCCAGCAAATGCAAGAAGAGGGTCTCCCTTAGTCCACGGGGTGGTGTGGTCTTAGCACCAGGCTTATCAGCCCAGGGTCAGCTAATGGCTAGGCCTGGAGAAACAGTACACAGGTTGCAGGCTGACAGTCCTGTGGGACCGCTGTACTTAGACTGAGGACAGAAGAGGGGGTCTCAGCTAGTCACCCCAGGAAGCGGGCACCTGAACTCACTTGCTCAAGGGCAGTGGGGAAAAGGGGGACCCAAGGGGGCGACTATATAGCTGAGGACTCTGCATGACCAGGATGAAGTGAATGAATGCGCTGGGTTGGGACAGAGAAAGCTGGAGCCCAGGGCTGGTCAGGCATGGGACCCAGTACTAAGCCCTCAGTCACTGGAGGTCTCACAATGCTATTCCTATCCCCAAGGAGGCATCTCTCACTCTGCATATTATCTGGACAGTTGTGAAACCACTGGGCAACACAAGGAACGAACCTAAATGTCTATCATCAAAGGAGCCTGAATTATACACACAGAACTCACCAAAGCATCTGACGGCATTTCCCTGTGCTATTAGGACCCACTACCAAAAATCAATGTTTGTTCAGTGAAGAGACGTTTAAACTGTGCATCTATTAGGCTATCTTTTGCATAAAAAGGAAAAACCGTGTATATTTCTATTTGTACACACAGCACAGGCAGGATAGGGTGAGGAGACACTGGTAACTCAGAACCCTGGAGGCACATCTGCACACAGCCAGCCCTAGGACCTTCCTCTCTAGGCAGCCATCTGAGGGCAGAGTGAAATCAGAGTGTGGTCAGAGAGGGTCAAGTGCAGACGAGGGAAGGGGATGGAAGAATGAATGCCACATCCCAGCCACAGTGGGAGACAAGCTGGAAGCAGTAGGTGGCTGAGGTCATGGTGTCTGGTCTCAGTCCAGCAGGCCACAGGAAGCACAGAAGGCTTTCACAGCAGAAAGGTTGGGATCCAATCTGGTCTCAGAAACCAGAACTACTGAACTGGGAGGAGCAGCTCCAAGGGAAGGAGGCCAGGGTGTCCCAGCACTAGGGAGGAGGA